TAAGGGGGACTATAAACCCCAACCCCTGCACCTGTCTTGCAGGCGGGCACCGTCTGTGCCCCGAGCCGCCCTAGGCAGCTCGGTAGATGAAGACGCCGCCGCCAAGGGGGAGTGGCGCTTAAAGGTGGGGCGGTGCAGGGTTAAGGGTTTAGGGNNTTTAGGGCTGCGGGTTTAGGATTTAGGGTGTACCTTCACCCCCAACAGTAGCTAAGATAATAGTCCAAAATTATTGAAAATAGTTCAAAATATCATTATTTTGCGTACTTTTGGGGTTCAGGTAGGGTTCAATGTGGGGACTCGGTGGGTTTACACAGTCACGGGTCTCCCTTTTTCGCCTAATCAAGGATTAGGCAGGCTGTCCTGTAAGTTATGTACATGGAAAAAAATATATAAGGGGATGGTACAGGATTGCAGTGATTCTTGGTACGGGTGGGCAAAGGTTTCGAAGTTGAAATGTTGCGCTTTAGGTGCAGGCATTGGTCTAAATGCTGCGTGCTTGCAGTCTACCTGGCGGACATACATTGCAAGGCCTTTCAGTCTTGAACCCTAAACCCCAGACCCTGAATCATGTTCTTGTTTCCAGGTTCTTTACCGTTGCCCCCCCCCCCGATTCCCATCATGAAGCGATTCCCATACATGAAGCGTGCGGTCCTGGAGCCGGCTTTTGGTCCTGAACTTGCGGGCCAGCTGGAGAGAGGAGTACCAAAGACATTTTCCTTGACCTGGGTTCAGGGTGTAGGACATGTACGTCGAGACTCTTAATTGGTATCTGGGAGTCTGGGATTTCTACGCTTAGGGTCACCCGCAACACCCTTGCATAAGACATAGTCGGCGCCTGGACTGGCCAACACACTGGCAATGCAGTTCCTAAATGGCCAAAAACAGGCAAGGCAAGTCATGCTCAATGCTTCAAAACTTCCCTACTTGGCAACACACGTACGGGTCCTACAGAGACCCTATATCTTTTGTGCTGGCAACTGCAAACAGAAGATTGCTGGTACAAGCCCTACATGCTGCCTATCCGTACAGCAATTTGCATTTCTAGTTTGCGAAAGACTCTGAGCCCCTTTCTACCACAAAACGCCAAGCTCATTGGCTCTAAACCCCAAGCCTTAAATGTTGACTCCTACACCTTCAACCTTACACCCAAGCCCCAACCCCTTCGTCCAAAATCCTAACCCTACACCGTTTACACCCCACACCCTAATATTGGGGAGGTGGCTCATGCTGTGGACGTTCTTCAGGAGGATGTCCCTTGGTCAAATTGTCTGGTGATGGTGGGGTTAAGGTCCTGGGTTGGAGGGCACTGGGGTTATCTTTATCAAGATGTATGGGATAGAGGGTTTGGGGTCCATGACTGGGATCAGGGCGAAGCTGTAGGGTTGGGTCTCTGGCTTTGAGGATTTAGGATTCAGGGTTCGGGGCAGGGTTGAAGGTTCAGGCGACTAGGCATGCTTTAGGGGATGCACTTGCGCAATTAGGGATTAGGGTACCATGGTAAACAGGATCTTCCTATACCCTAAGCCCTATACACACACACACACACACACACACCCTAAACCAGGACTTCCCTGACTTCTCGTGAACTACAGGTTCCCTGAGATGTCTCCAGCTGGGAGCGATATGGGAGCTTCCCAAATTTCGGGGTACCTTTCTGGGATCCCAGTGATGAGGATTGCAGTATTTTGTGGGTCTATATTGGGGCCCTCCTATTTAGGGAAAGTACCCTAAACCCCAAACCCTACACCCTAAAGCCTGATTCCTAAACCCTAAATCCGAAAACCCTTAGATCCTAAATCCTAGAACCCTTTATCCTAAATCCTAAACCCTACATCCCTAAGTCCTAACCCCACGAGGTTCCGCTGCTCTTTGCCTCCTACAATGGAATGGGAGGCCGGCTTCCAGACTTCTCCATATACAGCCGCCCGGTCGCAAGAATGATAGATAGCAGTTTAGGGTTTAGGGTTTAGGGTGTAGGGTTTAGGGTTTAGGCATTGAGGATTTAGGGTTTATAGGGCTTAGGCTTTAAGGTTCCGGACTTCTTCATATACAGCCGCCCGGTGGAAAGAATGATAGTTAGTATCAAGCCAGTACTGTCATCATTATTATTATTGTCGGTACTAGCAGTATTAGTAGTACTACTGTTATTAATAGAATGATTTGTAGTATTATCATCACATGATTATCATTCTTATGCAGAAGCTATTGTACGATTAGGCTTTAGGGCTTAGGTTTGGAGCAGTAATAACAAGAATAGCAATGGCAATAACAAGCCGTTTCCCTTACTGTCATGGTACAATGCTGGGAATATTTGTTATCAGGGGGTTAGGGGCGTTTATTGTTGCACTCTATTTACCAGTACCTAAGATGGCTGGTGATGTTGGGATGCGGTGGATACTCAAAATCCATCATGACGTTAGAGCACCTTCTGCTTTGAGGATTGGGAATTATGGTAAGTTCGTTTACTAAGTGCACTAAGGTCATGCCGGGTGAGCAGTATCAACAGTAGCGGTTTCTCACACTTGTTTTTATTGATTTCGGGAATCAAGGATTTGGGTTCAAGGTCTCGGCGTTTCAGTAGAGTTTTTGGGGAGCACGGTACTGGAGAGGGGACAAGATCTACTTCCTTGTTTTGGATGTTGAGGGCCTTGGCACAGAGACTCAGCGTTGTTTGGACGGTCCATGTGAAGTCGGTAACGACAAAACCAGTGCCCTTGTTGATCTAAAAGCAGAGGAATCACAGAACCCAGTCAGGATTGGTCGTCTACGTGAATTGGTTATTCAGTTATTCATAAAAACCAGTGTCCTTGTCCTTTTTGTTGACCCAAAACGAGTAGAGGGATCTTAGACTCCGGTTCTGAAAGTCTGTACCCGAGCCCCAAGCCCCGAAGCATTGCAAACCTCAAAATTCACATCGCCTGAACAGGGGTAGGTTTGAACAAGTCCTTTCTTCGTTGCTACCCTTAACCCATATATAACTGAATTTTTATAGAGCCCCAAAAACTCACCCTAATGAATCCCAGGCCCAGAGATCAACTTTGTTGATGAGAGGGCCCCCAGCTTGGCGGTGCAGGGCCTGCCGATGTACAGGACATGGCTCCAAGGGTTGAAAGCTGCAAACATTGTGCCTAATATAGGCGCCTAAATAATTACCAATATGAGCCATAGTCTAAACTCCTTAAAGGGGGTTATATAGGGGATTATATAGGAAACTATTATAGGGGTTACTAAGGGGGATACTAGGAGTTTAGACAATGGCTCATGTAACTGGGTAGGCCCCTGGGATATTTAATATTTTCCCTAATGGCTTCAATAAGGGACCCTATATATTAATATTTTTCAAAAGGTTTTAGGGGCCAACCCAGCTAATATAGGCGCCGAAATAATTACCAATATGATGTTTCCATATTCCTTATATAGTTATAGTCTATGGTACCTCAGATGAATCTCAAAATAACATTGGTAATCATTTAGGCCCCTGTAGTAGTGAAGTAAGCTGAGTAAACTCTTAGCCCCTGGCAGCTAAACAGCTTTGCAGAAGAAGCTGTTGGTTGACATTACCCCAAAAGGTCATCTATTCTATCCCCACCTAAACCCTACAACCCTAAACGCCTGAACCCTAAACCCTAAACCGTAGCCCCTAAACCCTAAACTCCCAAACCCCTAGACCCCTAAACCCTAAACCCAACTCAGCTCGAGGCTCTAAAGCCATAAGCTTAAGGCGTACCCCCCCCCAATGCCTTAAATCCTAAACCCCACTTAGACCTTAAAACCCCAGAAGCGGAGGGCTCAACGCCGTACCTATCAACCCCTAGTATCTACATTTTTAAAATGTTATAGTCCCCGTTAAGTAGATAGGATATGGGGTTAGAATATACCTAAAGCCATATTCTATCTTCTTAAGGGGGACTATCTACTTACTCAGGGAGTGGCTACTAGGAAGCTGTGGGTGTTTTGAGGTTGACAGGTAAGCCCTATAGCCTTAACCCTGAAGCCGGCAGGAAGAGTGTTCAGGAACCCTGTGCACTTGTACAGGTGTAAACGTCCCCAGCGAAGGGAAAGGCACAGCCCTACGCCCTAGGGGGGGAGAGTAGTTTTAGCCCAATATGTATATATCATATATACATATCTTTATAGCGTATTCAGGGTTTGGGGTAAAGGGTTTAGGGTTAAGGGTTCAAGCCACCTTGGGGCATCATGTAGATCCCAGGATTTAGGATTTAGGGTTTGAAGGCGTGTTTTCTATCAGCGAAGTATCCCTTCAAACCCCGCAAAACGTCATAGGTTGCCCTACTAAACCCCCCCATTCCATCCCCTAGGTTCCGCCTTAATTAACCTTAATTGGGCCGACTATCTCTGAATAACCTTAAGGAGGGACCCTAGTATAGAGGGGGTAGTAGCGGAAGCCATGATAATGTATGATAATGCGTCATTTGGCCCGCCCGCACCGTAGATGTCCATTCTCCTTACCCTTACCTTGCGATATGAAAATCAACCCAGAACCCCGTAGCAATTCTCGGTCTTCAAGCCCAAAACTGAACGAAGGTGAGTCGTAAGTTTCCATTTCATATTCCATTATCCCAATATAACTCCAATATAACCCCTAATATTAACCCAATGGGTAGGGAGTACTGTTCTTGGGGATGCTAGTCAGGCTACTACAGGGATCAAGTCCTCCATTCCAAGCTAGCCATCTGTAGATAAACCTGAAACCCTGAACCCAAAATGCATGACACCTCAAGCCCCCAAGAAGACTGGGGTGCTGTTAAGGAACTTAAATTAAGTTACCATAATAGGTATATATAGTAAATAATAGGGTTTCCCAAATATAGTAACTTAATTTAAGTTCCTTAACAGCAACCCAGAAGACCGGAGGAATTTTCTAGCCGCGCTGCGGTGGTCCATCCGGTCCATGTTCGACGAGAGCAAACTGGAGATCACTGCCATGGGCAAGACGCTTTTAGACGGTCTCCGGGTTCCTTTTACATGCCCTTTTCATGGTTTATGGTTTCAGAGTTTATGAGTAGTCAAACCCGAGAAGGACTGGCAAGGGTTTTGTTCATGAGCTACTGTCAATATTAGGCGGTCAATGGACCATTCATGGGGGTCCCTCCTATGTTTTAGTATAGTCGCGAATGTATTCCCTAACAAGGAACCTGTGTCCGGTAATTATCTGGGAAATATTGACCGAAGCCCATATGGTTTGATGATGGCAAGGGCTCGATGAATGCAGGGGCGCAACCCACCCCCAAACCCCGAAATAATGACCCCTCATTGCCTCTCGGTTCCAGGTAAGTTGTCCATACGATGGCGGCTGCACTTGTGGCCAAAAGGACGGGTTTACTCTTAACCAACTTAAGTTACTATACTAAGGAGACAATTTTAAATGTTATATACCCATACTATGGCAACTTAAACCCGGCACCCCTAACTAAGGACACCTTATTATATATGTGCGTATATATATATCATGTACCCATACTATGATAACTTAAGCCCTAACCCTTAACTAAGGAGACCTTATTATATATATATATACATATCGCGTACCCATACTATGGTAACTTAAATCCTACAACCCTAAACCCCTAGAACCCTAAACCCCCTACACCCCTAAACCCCTACACCCCTACACCCCTAACCCCTGAACCCCTAACCCTTAAGTTCCTTAACAGCACCGCAGAGGAGTCATGACTCATGCCCTAGACTTCTTGGCTCCGGCACTCCAAAGCTGGGGCTTTCACTTGCGGGATCCCGACCATTTGGAAGCAACAGCCATAGTGGAAGGATACTGGGCTGCTCTTGGTTTAGGGTTTAGGGTTTTAGGTTTTAGGGTTTAGGGGCAACAGCCATAGTGGAAGGGTACTGAGCTGCTGTTAAGGAACTTAAGTTGCCAGAATGTTGGGTGTTTAGTGAATGATATAGGGTTTCCTCATTTATAGTAACTTAATAATTCATATTATAGGGTTCGTGATTTATAGTAGCTTAAGAAGTTGAGTTCCTGAACAGCAACCCAGGATACTCCAACTACGAGTTTGATCCCTGGACCGGGTTGATCACCAAGCACACGGTGGACATCAAGAATCCGCCCCTTTTCATCACCGACCTTTTGCGGCAGTACTCCGCCAGTGAGGTGAAAGCCTCCCTGCCCTATGGGCTGCCACTGCGGTTTCAGGCAGATGCCCTCCCACAGAATGCTGGTGCCCTCGCTGGAGCCACTCTGCGAGGGGAATCCCGACGCTCCACCACCGCACGCACTGCCAAGGTGCGGCGGTTGTGAGTTCTGGGTGGTCCAAGGAAGAGTCTACTTCCATCCTGGTAGCAATTCCATTTCAACGCAGTTGTTTCTTGGTTAACAACACAAAACGTGCGGGCCCACCATGTATTATCACTGGGGCCGAGGTATGCGTGCCAGAAGCTGGATTCCACATTACCACTTGACATGAGCTCCATTCTTGAACAGGAGGTCTTCAAATCATCACGGCAAGGAGGAACGTGGGCTGCGCTCCAAATCCGGTCCCATTCTTACAATCACGTCGTGCGTACCATGAACGCGTACTGGATGTTGAAGTATGAAAGGTATCCGAAAGGCTGGGAGACACTGAGACAGTACCATGTCTCTAGCGGCGCATTCAAAATCGATTCCAAGACAACATGTAAAGCAGGGCCATGAAACCAATCAGCAGATAGATCACGTAGAAAGAGCTTGTGTTAAGCTTCCCAAGCAGGGTCTGCTTCTTGAACCTTGAAGCATTGAGGGCCTTTGAGGGGCAAGATGCCTCGCACCGTGACGCCCTCTGACAACCTCAGAAGTTCTCAACAATTGGAGTTTTTAGGCTCAGGGTTCCATTGGGGTAATAGTTGGGTTATACTGGGCTTATATTGGGGTAATGGAAAATAACATGGAAACTGCTTATTACTCAAGGCGACTAGACAGCCCGTTATGTAAGCCAAAGCTGATCCTAAACCTGTGAAGGCCAGCGGCAAGGAGTGGTCATTCCCTCAGCAGCTTGGCCAACATAGAAGGCTTCTCCTCGCTGCTGCTCCCCTTTTGGGGGGGGTACCCATTACCCATGATAAGGATTATAGCATAGTGGGGTCTAAATTTGGTTCCCCTAAACCCTGAATCCTATTAAAAAAAACCTGAACCCTATATTTTATGAGGAAAGCCTCATATTCCAGGGATCCCCCCAAGTGAATCTGCACCGTTTAGCCTCTAAATTTGAAGGTCCAGCTCAGAGGGTTGCGGTTGTTTCGTCGTGCAGGATTTGGGGACAACGGCCGCAAGGGATCCATGTGAGCTATACCTGGGTTGCTGTTAAGGAATTTAAATTATGCTACTGTATTGGGGAAACCCTATTATTTACCATATATACCCATGACGGTAACTTAATTTAAGTTCCTTAACAGCAACCCAGTATAGTCCAAACTTCTTCAAGGGGGGTTATATGGGGGCTGACATAGAGGAGTATTACAGGGGTTATTCAGGGGGATACTAGGAGTCTAGACTATGGTTCATGTAGCTATGTTGCAGTATATGCTTGGACCCAAAAGTAGTTGCATGGGAACCCCTTTGTGTGATAAGTATTCACGATACAGCTATATGTCTATTTTTTTTGGAAAGCTCTTGTGGGTTTGTCAAGGTCTTACTGCACGTGAGACGTTTGCTTGTAGTGAGGGCCGAGGGCTTCTTGATGCGTTCATCAACAGTGTTGTGCATGTGGCTCCTGTTGCGATGATTGTTTAGAGTCTTACTGGCATGTTGCTCGTACTCGCTTTCATGTAAGATACTTCTGACGTAAAGTCGTACTCTAGTTGCAGCTCTAAGTGCCAGCGATGAGAGCATCTGTGCTAGTTCCAGTAGCATCATCAAATTGGTCCTCATCACCACCATCATCATCATCATCACCACATCGGCCATGCTCCTCACTGTCATGCGCCGCCTTCTTACCGCTTTGCTGCGCGCTGAAAGTGAGCTTCTGCAAGCAGTCTCCGCCGATCCTCAAGCGGTACACCTAAGATCCCCTTATGGGTCCCTTTGATGCCGTGCATCTCTACAGGTGGCCGTATGTAGGGGTTTCGCAAAATTAGGGTTACCCTTCTTTGGGGTCCCTGTAATAAGGATATAGTAGATCAGTGTCTATATTGGGGTCCCCCGCCCATTTTGGGAAACTACCATGTTACATGTTGTCAAACTGCTAGATGCATACCTGGAGGTTCACTGGTAGGCAGAGGTGGCGTCGAAGTAAATGCAGCTCGCATCCAGTTCAGATTGTAGTTCCACTGAAAGCATAGCAGGGTTCCTAAGAAATCCGAACGACATGTTCCCAAAACACTCTAGCCGACTCTAGCCAATCCTTATACGTACTCCTTCAGTCTGTTTACACTAGTTGCAGCACATTCGTGCCTCATCCAGATATTGGGCATCCCTCCACCACCTACATGATAAACAAACTATATGGAGGGTCAGGTCATATTTGATATTAGAGTAGGGGGCTGATTAATACCATGGGGAGGCGATTCACCCTGAAAGTGGCCCACTATGCCGCCAAGGAGCTGCGAAGATGACTTTGAATGCAATGGAGGCACTGCGAACTTTCCGTTGCAGTGCTGTGGCCTTGCTGAACTTGCGCTGTTTCTCACTTCCAGGGGCCCATGTGTACACCTCCCTTGCCAGAAATGGAATTTACAGCAAAGATGCGGACTTTTCATTCTGAGAAACGCACAAAACCTGCCCAAGGCGCAAAAACAGGTCAAGAGTGCCCCTTCATATGCTTTGTCACGACAATCCCCAATTCCTCAATCTAAAGTTCAAGGCCTCCATCAGTCGTCGGCACCGGCCTGACGCCCCAACCTCCCAACCTTCATCATTGAGTCCTTGAGCTAGGTCCTCAATTATTCTGCATGAATAAATTAGGGCTCCAAATCGCCCAAGGTGGGTACTGTTTATAGACATCGGGGCCCAATGTAGACATTATTTGTAGACATGGAGCTCCAGGGTAAAGCCCTGGATAGTCTATGTACATGTCCTTTGAAGAGGGTCCTTCCTAGAAGCCTTGGATCTCATGCAGGCTGTGGCCTCCCGATCTGCTATCTATATGCCTCAATGGAGCTTCCATATATGCCCTAGTCTGACTCTTTCCAAGTATCCATACGTAGAACAGAAACCCCACTAAACGTATTGAAAGATACCTCCAACTTACATAAGTTATCGCTGAGGTGAGTTGCCGCTACTTGGTAAATTCTGCTGCAAGCCTCCAGACGACGATGTGCAGCCGGATTCCAAAGATGCTTGACTTGCAAAGCTCCAAATCCTCAACCAGAAATGTAACTCTAGGATTCAGGGTTAACCCTCCTTTCTTAATTGCAGCTACAGTGCTGCATAATCAAACGGTTGATAACGGTAGGAACATATTTTCCCGAGGTTATATAAAGGCTACAGACGGGTTCTATCTGGACTTGTTGAGTCTGTGCGGGGCTGTAGCAGGCGCTATAGGAGCAAGTTGGGGGTTTCTTGGACTTCCTCAAGCTTCGTTGAAGAAATACTCGGACAAGCTCTTTAGCGGCTGCTTCACTCTCTGTATTTTGTTGTAACAGTCTATGAAGCGTGTGAAAGCATACGCTCCCGCCCCTTGCTCTAAGCTCTGCGGAGTCACAAAGAGCGACCCCAATAATCCCCTCGCGCATAAGCCCGAGCGGAGTCCTGCATCTCAGTATGCGCTCGAACCCCGGACTTTAAAACCAAAAGCCCTAGCTGGCGCAACATAAGCCTCCGAAAGATCTACAGATCCTACAGATCCCCCCATACTAAAGATGAGCCCCCTGACTGGTAACCAAACACCAACCATTTGTCCCTCAACCTTCTTCGTATTACTACTAGTCTTACCAGTACCGCGACTGCTACTGCTCCTCCTACTACTACCACCACTACGACTACTGCTACTCCTGCTGCTACTACTACTGCTACGACGATTACCACTACTACTACTACTACTACTACTACTACTACTACTACTACTACTACTACTACTATTACTACTACTACTACTACTACTACTACTAGTGCTACCACCACGACGATTACTACTACTACTACTACT